ATTTTACAGAAGAGTCACTGATTCATTGAAGTTACGTCGCGTCGGAGATTACACTCGCCGGATTAGAACAAATTCGCGCGCAGCATTCCATGTTTATTAATGCATCTCATGAATAAATTAAATGCCCACCGGCTTTACGGTTGTACTCATGCCACAGTCCTGGCGCGTTTCAACCCTTGGGATATTTTACTATAATAGGGCGTGTCTACATCGCGCGTTAAAATTTGCATATAACATTAGCGCGTAACTAAGTTGTGATGAAGAAAAGAGTGATATGAACAAGGGGGGGGGGGTAAAAGACCAGGAGGGGTAAAAGAAAAGTTATATAACAATTTATTATTTAATAATTTATTAAAATACATAAGTTTGTCCAACTCCCTGTGTCTAAACGCGTTTGTTTCGGTGGCTTGTAGACATTAACGTTGAACTTAATACGTGAATTGCAAATCGAAATAGAACAAGAACAACCCGAGATAATTCCTTTTCCTAATTAGTATGTGTACTTGAGAATCGCACTCAACATGAATAAAACATCGTAAGTTTTTATAACTTTTCATTCATGTATCCAACGGAAACGAACGAGACTATTCCCATTTACAGTGTTTGAACATAGATAAGTTCAGTCATCATGTTGTCTGATACACAGTGAGACAAGAATACATCATTTGTTTACGTGAATTAAAGACAAAATATAATAGTATGATGGTATTTATACTCAAGTTTATATGATACAATTAACTGTATAGGCAATAACAGGTAACAGGTGTTTATATTACACAAATATTACACTCAAAATGATTAAAAATAACACATGACACGGAACAGTTCATATCACTGTTGCCAACCAAAAATCGTTTGCCGTAATCGGATAGGAACAAACAGACAATTCCATTGCAAAATTAATTGTCATGCTAGTTGGTTAACATAGATTTAAGTTCTGCCATCACGTCTTTAGGTTGATTCGAAACACTGTTGTTCGTTTGATTTTTGATATATGGACGAGTTTATAAAGGAGAAACATGTCCACATATATATGTAATATTGGAATCCAACTGCGCAGTACATTTTTGCAAATTAAATTTCAGTTATTATTTGAGGTTAACCCACACGTGCGCTGCATATATTGCTATTAACGCAGTCTAAAACCATGCAATCGTTACATGCTTAACCTGTTATCTTCCAATGGAACAACATATGTGCAACTGCTAATGAGTTGTAAGTTATTATACACGATTACATTGCCGGGGGCAAACATAGTGCAGTCATGTGTTCACTAAAATAGAAAATTATTTACCAGGCATCACAAATACGACTATTCATGCGCCAATGGAATTAACAATAATGACCATTACCCCTGAATAAATACCCTCATTAATGCTATGTGACCACATTATGGCCAAATTAGTGTGAAGTATAAAATATATAACGTAATGTTATAATAAAATAACATTTTATTTCCTATTATATTATTCACAATAATGCCCTTGCGATTGACACGCCGCGTGTTGCAACAGACTGCGATACCAGCTATACAAATGTACGCACAAATTATCACACCATTTAAACAACTGTGACATTGTGTTTTCGTTTTTGATGCATGTTCACGAACTACTCGGTCCCACCCCCACACAGGTGACGCATTTATAATGTATCACGATACCGAAAAAAATCACAATTTCACCATTGCTTTTAAACACTAAATCACAATTTATAAATAATAAATAAATAAATATTAAGTGGTCGTAACATGTGATATTTCTGTTTATGCATCAAAATGGCGTTGGACAATAAAAGCTGTGATGCATTCGGAAATAATACAAAATTACATATATCAATGACATTTTTATGAATTTCTATCTCATACACGAATGCATGGAAATTATGAAAGCTACGACATGTACATGTTGCGTGATTATTATTACTAGTGGGTGAACATTTCTTATATAAGGAAGTTATACTGTCGGACTTACCTGCAGCTAGAATATTCGTAGGACGGGACAGAATTATAATTGTCACCGAAAAAATGAGAACACCAGCTACACTGCGCGATTTTGTCACCTCGAACGCCATTTTGGTTAGGAGATGAAACTTGATGTACGCCGACACGTCGTGTTCGCTTTGCACTGGATGTCGGCTAATGAACGTAGTCCCAATGGATCACTATATTCGTGGTACTAATAAGCAGGAACTAAGGTTGACAACTCGTAAAATTATGAGTTGCCTCGTATTCGATCTCCAACAATACCTTTCTTTCACGTCATCCCTACAGGTCTCGTTAGTCAATGTTATCCCGTCACTGAATCACCATGGTAATACTCCACGGATGCTACATGTGACCCAGTCATTTCTGAATCTTTACAGCGTCATAGTTCAGGGATGCCCTGCGGATATGGAAAGCTTAAGAAAAACGCTGATATCCGGCTAATATGCTTTCTTGTAATCCTGCTCACCAAGTGCCTAGGGAGAGTGCGCCTGCTAATTCAACAATCAATGTGACTGACGGTAATCACTCAGTGAAACACACAACCAATTCAGCACGAATCATTTCATTAACAACGAACTAATTATATGTAATAGCATATTCAAACGTCAACGTATGGTGACATAAAGGATATGTGTGTGACTTGTCATTTGAATATATATATATTTGTATATTGAGGGCGTTTCAGTAATTTAAACTCCTAGGCCAGCGTCATATATTGCGAGGTTTTGACAGCGGCTCCCATGTAGCCTCCGGTTCGTCATGCAACCTCTGACAAGAGATGCGTGACATCTCGACATTAATAAGAGGACATTTACAGACAGTTTGCAATAAATCCCAGTTAATTCTCCGTATACATTGATGTGCACACGTATTTATTCCCAAAACGTCATCGGCTGATATCCATCTCAATCACAATCTCATGAATAATTACGCTTACGAACAACAACAGCAATTAATAAATGTAATTGATGAACCTTACATTCATTCGTTTGATCATGAAATACTAGATATTCAGTTGTGGTAGAATTACACTGTGAACTTTGTAACTACAGTTCATGTACTCACAGACTCACAGATAGACAAATTGCAAATACTAGATTTTCGATAAGCGTTTAAAGGTCGCCACGTTTCATTACTCTAATGCTCGTATAATTTTGACTTGAACATTATCGACCTGTGACATTACCGCACATTAAAACGTTTTAAGAGTTCTGTGGCATTGACTGGAATGCACACTGCATCTTTCAGTGTTTCAATGGTATTGACTTGAATGCATACTGCATCTTTCAATCGTTTCCACGGTCTAGGAATGATATATTTACGCACTCGCTTATCACAGATGGAGTATAACCATATGTGTTTGCGCACACTAGGGTTTCAAATTTTGAAAACACCATTGTCACAGCATTAATGATAGGGGCACATTAAGACACTCGTTGTCAAATCATTCCTATATTTATCGTTAGAGCGCCTCTGAGGCAGCGGTAATAAGCGGTTACTCGCATCTGGCATGTAGACAACATATCGCTGACTAGATTAGTGCACTGTAATCTAATAGCCTAGAGAAAGGGTATGAATGCAAACGTGCAAGTTGAACGACACTCACAATTATTCTACCGTGTACTTATTATCAGAAATGTCAATAACCCTAATACAAATACATATCACGGCATTGAAGGCGGTGTAATGGCTCTACTTTCGGTTCATTCAGCTATTTAAACGACATATATATTCACTCAAACTTTATGATCGTTTTGATAATCATTAAAGTGATAATTTTCAGATAATAGTGCTAAAATAGTGAACTATCCCTTATTTCAACGAGGTTTCCGACTAAAGGTTTAAAAACCAATTCGGATGAAAATGAAAATAATTTGAAGGTAAACAACAATTTCTTAATAACCGATAATTTATTATTATTATTTATTCATAGTTGTGAGTTCATTATTATTATTTTTGTTGTTGTCATGTTGCCTTTGAACCATGGCATTATCATCAATGGATGCATTGACGAGAGAGAATGGAATACAAGTCATGTGGAATAGTCGCCCACAACGAGATCTCAATTTGCGGATTTAACATTTAAACTACAGGCAATATATAGAATGTATTACAGTATTGCCTGGCAAGACATAGAGATGACGTAACATAATGTCAAAAATATAATTTTTCACATTCCAAAAATATTTTTTTAGTTTCATATTTAATGAGAATCACAAATAATAATAGTATTCAATAATAATTATACTATTACAATTATTTAAGTAATTATAATCATAACTATAATCATATCATTGTCATTATCTTTATTAATGAAGAAATAGCAATAGAAACGGTGTAAAAATAATTAAAAATAATAATAGATAAGCCCATTGTTATTCGAGCTGTCGGGATTTTTTTTTTCTTTTATCAACTATATGGTCATTGTAAATAATAGTATGCACGGTTTTTCCGCTTTCGCCTGTCACAATAAAATTATATTTGGAATCGGAAACTGTACGCACGAAAGAAATATGATTACACGTATGTACAAGACGTTCGAGAAAACATGACTGACAAAAGTGTGCAATACTGATATATTAAGTTAAAAGAAACCTTGTCCGAAAACGATGTATACATGCTTCCCATGTAATAGACCGAATAACTATAAAGTCTGTACTGATCCCTGAACCATTGACCGAAAGGTGCTTAAAAACGTCGTTTGAGAAGGAATAATTTAGAAATTGTAGGCAATGAACCTATGTTAATGATCATTAGTGGTTACCTGAAGAGTAATATCAATGTGAAGACAGACAACTTGAAGTAGCACCTAGATAAGTTTAATATTGTTACTTGAAGTAGCACCTAGATAAGTTTAATATTGTTACCTTATACACATCTAAAAATCAACATTTTAACGTGACCTGTGTACGATATGTATTAATGCACTTCATTTTGTTCCGCGAAATAATTTGAAATTCTCAACTTAAAATAAATAAAATTAAAATCACACCATTATAAAATGTCACCAGATGTGCTCAGGTATGCCTTGGTCGATATTATTTTGTTCATTTTTACCTACTTTGATTTTGTTCAAGGTAATTAAAAGTCATTTAAACCTTTAAAGATGTGTTGCCAGAATCAGAATCAAAATTGTTAGGATTTATTTACATTTATGCGTATAATTATACTAATAAATTCAATACACATTTTATACATACATCGAGATAGTCTGCAAAATTAGCTAATGTATAATTTAAGGACCATATATTTAGAGGATATGTCAAAATGATTTTTAATCAACTCGAATTTACCTGGCTTGATATTACGATCGGGTCACACAGGTGACAATATATAAAGCAGTATGTTAGTATAGATAAATGACCTCAACAATGGCCAACTTGGGCATTATAGTATCGCTGATTCTCTGTGTAAGACACGGTACCATTTACTATCACAGACAATATTTCAAATTCTCTTGAAGTAATATAACATACTGCAATACAATCCAGCTAGATCATACCTTAGATAATTCAGTGAAATGGTCTGCCCATGAATATAAATATATCATTATGTCAGACACATCATACTTATAAAAGCCGGTGTAGTGGTAAAATTGAGTGTTAAAGTAATTTTATACTATTGTAGCGGTTCAACTCACAATTTACTGCTTAGTTTTTTTATTTGTGACTATTTTATCCTGGTAAAATGACATTTACAAATCATGTCTCGTTGTGACCATTTATGTAATTTTGACTTGTTATCTTCGAGATTAAATAATAATTTGAAGCAATTTTGGATTCCGATCGGACAAGTTTATTAAGCGACAGTTATGTCATCCTCATCACACTTTTTTGAGGTATATACAACATGACATCATGTCTAAAGTCACCATGCATGACCAGTCCCATATAGGTACCGATCAATCTGGTCCATGGATTCACATCTATATTCTTGTTAGATGTGTTCTTTTGTTTTTAGATGATATAATTTCCCCACAAGACTCAAGATCTCATGTAATGATTCGTTTTTCAAAATCACACAGCTACAAAATGTTTATTGAACAATATGATGGATTCATGAGAGAGTTATCGAACGAATATGAGGAAACCTGCCGGATTAAACCGTTTGTTTTTAAAAACACTTCGAGGCCAACGAGATTCGAGAAGGGTTTTATTCGTTTTTGAAGTCGATTTCACCAGTTTCTCGTGGCTTTTCTACAAAACCCATTTTTTTATGTAATAAGATGAACAATGTTCTGATGATAGAATAGCTTCGCATATATACGGCTAACCTGGCAGTGCTTATGTTATTCGGGCCATTCGTTGCATTTCATCGCCCACCACCTTCTTGACACAGTTTGTTCCATAAGGAGTAAGTTGCACTTTTATCAAGAGAGAACAAAATTCGGTCTGAAACAACCTGATTAACCAGTAAAATTAAACAGTTTGCAAATAACAATCCGACTTACTAATGAACCCTTACAGTTTTCAACTAAATCGTACTTTGAATTTAGACAAATCGTGGCAGTAATTATATGGGTTGAATGATATATATGTAAAATTAAGTCAGTATCACCCAATCAACGTACACCTTTGGAGTTATGACACACGCAAGGCAGTTTTAAGACTCACCGAATGCCTTCAAAAAAGCCTTCAATTTTTTTTCAAAATAAATATCTATAGGTGGTTTGTGGTGATGGTTTTAAAGCAGAATAAAGCCTTTGTGCTCGGAATCTTCTTGAATATAAATTCTTTCCCGCGACAGAATATCACTGTCTGCGGCCTCGACATTTTTTCTTTATTTATATTTCAAAATAGTACTTGTACTCTGGCTTTACTCTATATTCTGAAACATTTGTGGGCTTTGAAAACAAATACCATAGAATGCTTTGTCATACTTCTATGTTATGTTCAATTTAATGGGTATATGATGTGGCCACTTAACTTAATTCATACGGCATATTGCAATCATGTTATGACGTGAAACCAGTAACCGTACAAGCTCATTGTAATTTAATACGCGAATATGATTGAATAGCTTAATTCGTCTAAAAATCAATAATTACAGCAATTTATCAATTCTAACAAGACATGTTGGTTCGCAGAGTAGGTATCTTACATTAAGATTAAATAAGAGATATCAGAGTGCATACTACAACGAAGTAATGCATGGGAATTCAATCTCAATACAATAATTAGCGACATTAATAAATCATCTAGACGCTAGTTAATCTATTAAATATGACAATTGGTGGTTACAATCTCAACCACCAACTAAAGTCTAATCAATTTTAAATAAAAAAATGTGATCATCGGTAATTAAATATATTTAGAAACAAGCTTTTATCTAATACCAAGCACGATATAAGTATTATATCAGGGATTTCTGCAACGCACAGTATCGAAATCAAACACAAATGTGACTACTTATCGGCAGAATACGGCATCGAAGACGTGTATGTGAATATCATGCCGTGAAACGACAACCATTCCAGAGTAATCTATATGTATACAATTTCAAACATATTGTGTGTCATTTTAAATGAGATCAAAGGGTCTGTTCCATACTGAGATGATGGGATATGCTCTACAATGCAATTGTATTTCGAACTCTCTGACTTGATGGGATTATTTGCATTCCATACGAATTCTTTAAATTAAACAACAACATCGAATGAACTACTGGGTACTTTTCACTTCTTACTTTACAACGGGTCCATTAAAACCTTAGTTGATCCACTTCATGTATACTCAAAATAACAGTGAAAGGCGAAAAATATAGTATTCAATGGGCCAGGCAACAACATACTACATTAAATTTTAATATGTTTTGCTAAACTTTTGACTCAAATATAATTTACAACATTGCAGTGTACATTGTAGGAGAACGGAATACTGAAATAAATCACACATACAAACAAACAAACAACTATTATTAATAAACGTTATAATTATATTTGCTGCGTGGTTGCCCACGTCGTCGATCTAGAATTACAAATCATGACGTATAAATAATTTGTTGAACACATGAGAACGACACATCATATTGAGGGTAATTAGGTACCAGATAACCATATCACGACTACGCAAACGCAGACACAGTGACGTCATGCTATGCTAACAAACATCCGATGTTATCAATCATTGTGAAATAACGCAATATTTCATAACATGTGCAAGTCATACATACACAGATATTTCTTTTCGCATCCTGTTATGTCTTGTAATACTTTCAATAAATGTACCCAGCCAGTTTAGGACGAGTCGTATGGGAATGCTAATGCATCTACGCAGGTACATTTTGTGGCCTCATGGTATATTCTGTTCTCCATAGCTACAGTGCGATAACTTTCAGAAACAGAATAAATAAATAAATAAATAAATAAATAAATAAATAAATAAATAAATAAATAAATAAATAAATAAATAAATAAATAAATAAATAAATAAATAAATAAATAAATAAATAAATAAATAAATAAATAAATAAATAAATAAATAAATAAATAAATAAATAAATAAATAAATAAATAAATAAATAAATAAATAAATAAATAAATAAATAAATCTTGACTTATTCAAACCGACAAAACTAATTCCCTAATTGAAATATTATCAAATTTTTTTGAAGAGTGATTTTAAATGTTATATTGCAGTATAATCGACAATGGTTTGGAATGATTTTATTGAATAATTAATAGTTTTACACAGAATTGGTAATAAATCTCAGTGTGACCACTTTTTGTCTCAGTATCAAACACCCTAATGCAGTGCTAGTTAATGTAACCTTAATTCACAGAAACAACGAAGGGCAATACAAATAAGTAAGTTGTAAGTTGTGGGAAACTGAATTTCTCAATCGATTAAATTCTCTCATGATTGACTTTTGTGTCGCTCTTAAACTTAATATTGAATCATATGGACTACGTATCAGTGTTGAAAAGGTTGTAGTTTTCGTTTCTTAAACAAGCCAAGCTAAGCAAACATTGTTAGCACAACCTAATATAACATGAGACTGTAAACCAAATAAATAAATGTAATGATATGGGAACAAATTTAGTTATTTATTGTTTATTTATTTAATTTATTGTTGCCAAGGACATCGCCTTACCTGAGTGTAAATGAGTATCAGATAAAGCAGCTCGAACCAACTACGTAATTTATGCTCGAACCGTAAAGTTATTTTCAGACTATAAAGATTACGCTTGCATTTTTACTGTATGTTAAGATTAGTCACTATGCATTTGGAATGTATATGTTGAATGCATGTATTCCATACTAAGTACCTAAGCCAACAAGAAGAATAGTAATTGAATTGTTCAAAAGTACTACAAAACTAATAAGACAACTGCCAGTTAATTGAGTCCTGTAGGAGGCAGCAGTATTTGCCAACTATTGGATTATTGTTGTGTTGGAGAGGTTTTGGGGTAATTAAGTTCTAGATAACAGTGTTACGATTGCGCAGACACAGACAAAGTGACGCCATGCTATGCTAACACACATCAACATTGAAATGTCACTCACTGAATCTGAATATTGCTGCTACGTAATTATAATTTGATACGTTTATATTCGCATATAACTTTGAATCATTGCAAGCAATTGCAGATTGAGGGGTTACACATATGTCCAACACAATTACGATTTAATCTTTCGATTAATACACAACATTATATACAACATGACGTACAAGCATTCCCATGCCTGTTCTTTCTTGCTGTACTTTGATAAGTGTAATTGTGATAGCTGTGTACACCGAAATGTTTCCAGCCAGTTTGGAATGCGAAAGTATTGCTTCGCTCTATAGGGGGAATATATACTTTTTCTTGTTGCGAATGTCACCAGAATTAGCACATTGGAAAACACACTCACGTAGTATGGCTAAGTTCATTTCATAAAAATTACTTTTGCGATTTTACAAAACGATACGGTGTGTATTTAGAATGTATATTTTATTGCATGTACTTACAAGTAATAAAGCCAATATGGCGGATATATATTGAATTCTGCAGAAGTCAGTCTGTTGAGTACTTTGACGATGTATCTGTGTAACAGTAGTTGTCGAATACTTAAACGTAAACATGTTGCTCCGTATCACGTGATAACAATCAAGCCCATACTTCAATTGTCTATACTACATAAGTACTCTTACTAGACCTTCATGACAATATTTATACAATAATTATAATTCATGGATGAAGTGTTGTATTTTCCTAAATGCTTTCATGGTTGTCTTGGTAAACAAACTGTCACATGGAAATTTGACACCACCAATCATTCCGTGGCAAAGGTCAGTACGCGTAAATGCAAATTCTAGTTCAATGAATTGTAGATTCGTGGAACAAAATGTACGTGTAGCGTATGTGCGTTTACCATAAGATAGGTTGTAAGAGTGACAGTTTAAATTACAGCGCAGCGTTTCTATGGTATTGTCAAATCACAAAACTTCGAATATTCCAAGTTCATGATGCTATTCGAAAATCTTCTCATATTAAAAAAACACATGACAAATTAATAAAGCAGAAAACTCTATTGGATGTGTTTTCATCGTGACGCCAGAGGGCGAAATAACACTTTGGCTTTTTTATGTAATGGAAGTAACTGTGCATGGACTTCAAACTTGTACAGACTTGCTCGTAAATGGAACTTGTTTACAACACTCGCTCGCTCGGATGAATGATGATGGCGTTTTCATGCACATGAACAACAAACTTGCTGCTTGCTCGTACATGGACATCGAACTTGTCAAATAACTGCAAATATGGGACGCTAAGAATTTTAACTTTCGCAAGTGGTAATATGGAATAATAGTGCCTTTGTTCCGGGCTTAAAATACTTAGTTATTAATAACTACCATTGAGATGATTTAATTTTATCTATTGCAGTGAATTAAATTTTACCCTCTCTAAATCTAAGAGGAATTAGTTAATTTGTTGAAAATTGTTCACATGCATCCTTTTGAAAGGATACAGTCTATAGGTTTTATTTGTAGTGTGATTGTCACTGTCAAGTTAGGTCGATCATCAGGATTGGGAGATATGTCAATTTCGGACGATCAGAAATGCCGGCACTCTTTACAGTTGAAGTATGAGGACAAGCGTAATTATATGTGGCCGACAGCAGCTAAGAACTTACGTAAATAGTTATAACATATCTATTGATAAATTGGTCTATCGCAAGTAATTTACATGTTCAAAAACACAAAATGAAATAAAATTACAAGCGTATTACTACACACGGTGATGTCAGTGAAGGAAAATACACTTAATATGAAACTCAAAGTATACAACTAAGAATGTGACAGATATGTTGTGTGGGACATGTGATAAAACAGTTGCTATTGGAAATTTTTGTTGTAGATAAGTATCAATATGTATATAGTTTGTTCATGTGATTTGAGGAAGTATAACTGCTGCTCCAGCGATGTTGATAATGGCAAAGGTTATGAGGAGAATTCTATCGATAACTGCTGCCAATCTCAGCCAATCCCTGTGAGTCTAAAACACAAACATATTGAGTTAATATTATAGCTTTTTCATGCTTTCATTCACGCCTCGCACATCACTTGCCGTTGCCATGTAATTTCATAACTTTGGGCTGGGTGTCACATTTTATTCTATAACCAGTGTACGTAAAGTTATACTATCATCTGAACGTAGATTTTACTCGAGCAGGATAGATTAGTTGATAACCTCTTTGTAAATGTCAACATTATACAACCATATGTGACTATTCTGAGAACATTCAATTTCTTTGAATGTTTTCTCTTTCCTTCATGTTTCTGAATAGAAATATTTTGAAATTATAGCGTATACCAAAATGTATTTACAACCATACTAAACGATTCTTAGATATACTAAGCCTCTAGCTGTGTCTTTGAGTAAATGGAACAAAATAAATCTACATGTTAATTTCCAGGTGATGGTGATGATGAGTACACAAACAAAATTTGACAGCATTATTAATTCCCAATAATTTTTTTTTTTACTCAGACTTCGAGTTAAATTTTATGTTCTGATTACATATTGCACAAAGTATTTCAATAGTACAAATCATAGAGAATGTTGCCGCGCTGGCTCTACCGATTACAGGTGACCCGTTATAATAACTTACCTCATTATTATATTTAGTAGGTACAAAACGATTCACTATTTTGTCGAGTGTCATCAGCATTTGTCCCAGCATAACTTCGATCATCTGGCAAGAATCATTCGAATTATTGGAATCATTGAAAGGATGGTACAGTTGCTGCATTCTGTGGGCGTCGCATATTGCTGAATCTATTTCAGCACCTGGCTCGTACGAGTGTGATAGTGGTCGATGAAAGGAAGAGCTTGTTGAATTACAATGCATATCCTCATGAACTGTAGTCGTTGAAATAGATACACCGGTGAAATCACTTTGCTTTTTTTTCGTCGTCTTACACATTAAAATAGTTTCTATTTTTCCGAGAAAGATTTTTCTCACTGATGATGGAACTGGCGTGATAGTAAACTCGCTCATTGGGCATAACTGGGAAACATATGTTGTCAGAGCAACAGAAGCACCTATTAACACCATACTAAACAGAAAGTAGACAGTAATCATC